CATTTTCGGGCAAGTTTTGTGACCATTTTCCTGCGCCCTATTAGCAGGCTGAAATTCACCACTTTTTTAGTGCTTTGGTGACTTATAGGCACAATTTTCTCAGTTTTCCTAGCGTTACTGCATTGCTTCTTAACTCCCATCTTGGGAGCCAGTTTTTTCAGTGATTCAAGAGTATTTAAATTCCTGGAATGTATCGAGGTACCTTGTGGCATTTAAACGTTAAAGCTATACTTGCAAATTTATTCCTGGCTTTCAAACTCACATATATGTATATATGCGGGAGGTGATATAATATTTAGGTAAGTCACAAACGGGAAGACAACGCATAAAATAGTCTTTAATTAGGGACATCTGACGTTTCGGACCAAGCTCGGTCCGTCTTCAGAGTACAATGACAAAAGGCACATAATGTTTTCATTCGGGTCTGGTTGACCTGCATGATTAATAGTGCCTTGTTTGCTTTCGAGTCTTTATCGGCCGCCTGATGTTTGCGGTCCTGACGTCTGTTCCACGGTCACGGTTGAGGCAGTTGGTTGCTTGGATCAGTAACGCTTCCTTGACTTTGCGGGACAGATATTGTTGTTCCCGCGCGACACCTCTCATTCTGTCCCACGATAGTTGTATTGGTGAGTAAACAGCACGTCCCACAATGGCAGAATTCTTCTCGCATTCTACCTTTATAAGTCCGGGGTTTTTCGTCTGTGTCCGACCTCTACCGACTTGTTGTTGACCCCTTTCTCTAGCGTCAGCGTTCTTCCTCCTGATAGGATTCCTCATGTAGTCTGTCTTCCTTCAACAGTGTCCAGTTTCGCCTATGTGAACCGCACCACAGGAGCACGGGAGTTGGTACACCCAACCGGCTTTCTGTTCCCTAGGTTTCTGGATCTTGGGGTGGCTTAGTCGGCTGCGTAGAGTAGCACCAGGTTGAGCCCGGATGCAGATCTAATGCGTCGCAGCTTTTCACTCAGTTGGCGAACGTATGGCAAGGATGATGTCCCTAATTAAAGACTATTTTATGCGTCCCTTACTAGATGAAGCCGTGGTCTGCTCAAATGACCTCAAGGCAAGTAGAAGCAAGTGGGCGCTGCAATAAGCCATTAAAACCGGTCTTTGAGTAGTCACTCGTTATTTGAATTATTCTGGAAAATAAACAGCTTATGAGGTTTATGCGGTAGCGTGTGTGTGCCTGCAAATATCCCAATTTTCGGACAGATATTTGTAACGTTTGGGTGCATTTGGAATTTAATGTGGTTTGTCGGCCGCTGGTACTTCAATCATGCACAAGTGTCAAATTGTTCTTTCATTATAGCTCTGCATTGATATTCTGAGATCATGAACATTACCGGCTTATATGTATACTCTGCTTGTTCTCAGTTTTTAGCATCATTTTAATTTTAGAATTGCGAAGAGACGCTGGAGGACGAAGATAACGAACATAAAGCTGTCAGTCATGACGTTTTTGTCTTGGAGCATGAATTGTCCGAGTGCAAGGTATTAGCTCGTTTAATGCCGGTGTGGCATCAGTTTATTTGATTTTACTCTATTACGCTGATTTTTCATATTTTCTGATCGCTGGCTTAAAAGCCGATGTCAAGGATGGGGAACAGCAAATGTTTGAATCAAGAGAAGACCTGCAATAACTTGATATAACGACCTCTGACCCTGATAATGGTTTTATGAAGCGTGTAGTAATAAATCGCATTGAATTCATAGCAGATAAATTCTGGTTGCACTTACTGCTTTCAGTTGATTCCTCCTTGACGCAGATATGCTTTTGACTAGAAATGTTACCTTTGCCGGAAGTGAACAGTGTTTAGGCGAACCGGTCTGACTTCGATATTCTTGGTCTTTTTGCTATTCACCGTCTGCCAGCATCTGATGCGGTCGTTGCGCATCGGTTACACACTTGTTACGTCCCGTATTGCTTTATTG